CTACGCCAGTCTGGAATTTAATGTATTTTTAAATATATCGAACGGCTAAAGAGTGTACAATGAAAATTTGTTAATGTTATAAATTATAGATTTGATAGACAGAGACATTTTTTAGTTATAGTGAAAACTTTCATTTTTATTGCATGCAGTCTTTGGAAAATCGTAGAACAAATTTTGATTTATTATTGCTTTATAAAATTGAAAACAATTTGATTGAATGTCTTTTCGTTTTGGAAAAATATACTTTAATCGTAATCCCTACATTCCTCGCAACTACTCTTCTAACTCTCTAATTTTCAGATTTTCCCGTACTTATAACAGGGTAGAGAACGCGTTTCCGGATCTTGATCTATTTGCTCTGAGCTTCGAAGCCTTTAACCGACACTTAAAACGGTATACCAATTAACATACTGTAATAAAAAGCTGTAATTATTTCTTAATTAGATTTAGCTGGTAAAAAATAATTTAAACTAGTCCACTGACAAAGTATCTCTTTTCTGTGACATTTTGTGATTTCCTTTTATTGGACAGTTACGTCTGTTTGTAGGAAAGAATTGTTTATAAATAAATAAATAAAATCAATAGCTTTCAAAAATTTAATATTTTAGAACCCGTCTCCACAGATTTATCAATTTTGATGTCGAATTTTAAACGAATAATCGCGAAATTTTAAACCCTCGCCGAATGGTCGTATATCTGATTCGATATTCCGATCAGGCTGCGTGTCGTATTTTCGGTAGGGCTGCCTATATGTCAGTGACGGTAATTGTGGGGCATCAGTTGGTAATTAACAATAACCGACTGCAATGCACCTCCTCTCTACGTGTTACCAGGGCAACGTTCACCTAAGCTCCCTCGAGAATGTGATACATGACGTGTGTACCGTGAATTGCGTTTAGGCCGCGCAAACGTTTTTCCCGGAAAATCACAACAAATGCTAATTCGCTTCCGAGTTAGTAGAAACCGATGCACAATAGAATAATTTGTTTCCGCCGTTTAAAACATATACGTTTGGTATTCAAAACGCCGCGTCGGTTACAGTCCACCACTTTGTTGTGAAAAAACTAATTTTTGACCGGTGACGTGTTATGGTTTGGTAAATGTTTCTTGCTAAAAAATGAAGCGTCCGATGGCAAGTTTATTGATTTTGGGGTTGAATTTTCTTTATTGTGTTGTATGTCGTACTGGCGGGCAAACTTTACATTTTTCCGCTGGTTTATAAACTTAAGTTTTGGTTAGTTTGTTTGTTTGTTTAGTTAGTGTTGTTTACTGTTTCTATAAAAAATGCCGGATATAATAACTTTTAGCCCAACATGCCCATCTTCCACTAAAACCTCATTGAAAATAAAGATACCAATTACTAGGTCTTATTCTTGAGAGCAAACGTCATTTAGAAAATATCTAAAACCCGCAGCCTGCGTAAACAAATTCTGAATAAAATAAAATGTCCTGCTTTTCTGGCGATAGACTGGGGCGAGAACCAGCATCAAAACGGGCCTAAGATCTCAAATTTAAATTTACAAATTTTATTTTCTATAAACTATAAAATTTATCTCATTTCTTTAAATATCGTGTGCTAATGTACTAGTACATATTAGCAAATTAGCCAAACCCTCAATGCTGACGATTTTTAAATAATAATTTAATTGCTGGACATTTGCTGATAATGCATCTGTACGAGAACTGCTTTGTACATAAATTAGTAAAATACAATTGTTTATCTACACACGGAAAATATTTCAATTAAATTATTATAGTTAATGATTTATTAGTTATACGCTGTAACTAATTTTTGTTTGTTTGTTGTTTGAATTTGATATTAATTATTGGGAGAGGCTGGCCATTTTTTACTCTTTTGTTCATGCTTAATGAATCTTTCTTATTATTGGTTAAAAGATTTCTATAATTTCTATGAATTGAACATAATGCCTCAGTCAACTATTTGTATAGGAGCAATGAACACTTAAAACCATGCTAAACTGTCAATGTAGATTGTAATGAAATTCTTTCCGCGTCTGCGACAAAGCTTTTCATTTGCCAAAGCTTCAATACGACAACAACGAAACTAAGGTATTCTATTTTACTATATATTCTCATCGAATATATAGTAAAATGTTGTCGATAGTTGTTCTAATCTTCCGTATTTATTTTACTTTTAATCAATTGACGATGGTGATTGATTGATCAATTAATGTAGGTTATATAACACCTTCAAGAGAAGTAGATATGCTATGCAAGTTCGGTCCTCATGTCGATTGTTTCTGTATATAAATACACATAAAAAATGTCAAGATCCACATTAACAAAATCCTTAGCTAATCGATCAAGGTGACGCCATGATATCACGGGATCGCGTGACGACCTTGAACGGACCGACTTTCCGCAGAACCTCTATAAACTATCTACTTAGCAGGTGTTTCTACTTTCTAAATAGGTATAAATTGACTGGTGGACGCCAGAACACACAATTCTTACTATCATTCTAATTATGTACCTTACTTAACCCAATCACAGTTAAAACGCTGATAGTTTTCTATTTCTCTTTAAGCCTTATTAGCGGTTTGGGGGTGATGAGACGTCAAAAAAACGAGATTCGATCCGCCGCTGGGTCTCATTGGAATTCGGGACAGGCACGCGTTGGAGCGAGTCGCAGATGCGATGCCCAATAACAAGACGGAGACGCCATCGCGCCAGCGTCTTGTCGTCATGCATTTTTATTCCCCTCCACGAATGTTTTAAGAAGGAGCAAGGTATTAAGAAACCGGCCGACAAAGCTGAAAAGAATAATGATTCTTAATTTTCATTTCGTTCCTATACTCCCGCTACGTGACCGGAAATTTAAATGCAGATATGTCACGGGGAATTTTTTGGCTTTGGCAACCCGGTCATTTGTTAGAAAATGCAATAATGGTTTACCGAGTTGTCACACCGTTGTGCATCGTCGGTCAACTTGAAATATTGGGGTACAATCTTCGAGGTGATGCGTCTCTGGTAGACGCTAAAGTGTCCGGTTCCCTTCACATCAAGTAAAATGAAAATCTTGGGAAAGTTCCACTGATACGTTCGGGTGATTGCACAACTAGATTTCTACCGGTATAAATCTTAATGTAATTCTTTTTAAAAGGTTTCTGTACATATTCAAATTTTAAGCTATATTCTTTATTTTACTTTAAGTTCGAAAACGCTTATGGACAAATGTTTTTATTCTGGCGACGAGAGAATATAATACCAGGATTTAAAAATGCTCATAGTGTTACACTTTAACCATGTTGTCTACGGAGTAAATATTTTATACACACTAGTCAAAAGCTTGCATGCATGGAATATGTAAGATGCTGGTCTTCTTAGAAGACCAAGGAATCCATCGGTTAGTCAAAAACATCAATCTCATCATTGCACAACGGGTTGTTCAGAGTTAGAAACAATAATAAATATATAAGCCTACGGCTTTAGGTATTTATTTACATTTTAGCCATTATCATAGCCCGTGTGTGATAATCCAGCTGCCATTGCATACTAGTTTTGGAGCAAACGAATACCATAAAAGTAGTCAATACAAAGTATCAATTCTAGACTATTAATTTATATAAAAAGGCATGATCCACACCGTATTCGTATCATATCATGTCGCATCGTATCGTATTTATTGTAAAAAAAAATGGGTAGTTAAAGTTTGGCGTATTGAGTTGGTTGACAAACATTTATCATTAGTTGCCGTTTTTCAGGTCCGAATCATATTTGCTTCCCCAGATAAACAAAATTAACATCAAACGTGGTTCCGTCAGGGCGGAACATATTTGGCCAGCGTTTCGTTTAAGCGTCGACATATTTACTGGAAAATATTCGTTCGCTGTATGTTCCAAAGTGATTCCTCTGGACAAAAATTTTTTTTAATTTATTTAAACCCAGAACCACACGATTGTTTTTTTAAGATTTTCTACTGGGAAAGGTTGTTTTTCTTTTCCGTTGTCGTTCGTTTCTGTTTGCTCATCAAAATTGATAGTGATAGAGATTGCCGTCTTAAGAATACCGTTTTCAATGTCAAATATTGAAATAAAAAATTTCTTTTTTGATGATTTTTTTATAGCTCTTAAGTAGACACTTCTTGAATAGAAAAACCTAATTTTCTTTAAATTGTCTTTAACAAATCTGATGTTTTATGGATCAACTGTCACCTTACTGGTATTCTGTTTTTTTCACCTTTCTAAGTTTTAGTAATAAGGAGCAATAATTGCGACAATATTTCTCGAAATGCAAACTCTAAAACTGACCTTTTATTTGTCTAAAGTATATTGCATTTGTATAGAAATGGCACTGCTTAACAATACTTAAAATTTCAGCTGCTGATAATAACATAAATTGAGAGATTCACGAAAGGTACTTATGTCTTTGTCGTTTGTCGAGTGAATCGAGTATAACGAGGAATGCTCGCTTAGCAAATGCACTAGATTAGTTTGATTATGAAGCTATTTAATTAGTAAGAGGGTAAATGCACACATGAATTGATACATCGGAGTAATCGCTTTATTCGATAAGGCTACATTAGACACATTTAACTAATCATGGAAGTGGATTTAGCAAACAATTCAGAATGCCCTAATTGGGCGATACAAATTTTTGACATCGAGTTTGCTAAAAGAGACCTATTCTTGACCTGTCTATATCCCGTGCTAGCTGTTATCGGGGTTTGCGATTACTAACTAATTTGTTTTTCTCTACAAAAGTTATTTACAAATTGTCTTTTCAAATTTAAATATGTTAAATATAGAATCTTAAATTTCGAGTCAGACATTTAAAACCCAACGAAGTGTTCCCGTCGGCTGTGCACTCTATTATGGGCAACAACTTTCTTCTTCCGGTTGCATGAACCAGCTTTTTAACAAATGATTTGTGGCTTGAACTGTTGTTATGTTTTGTACCTGTCTACACAAACGGTTTCCTGGTTAATGCACGCTAATAATAAATAATAAAACGGAAGGGAAACGTATAAAAACACTCGATGTACTTTTTATTAACTCATACAATAAACTTGTATCACTCTTTGTGACGTACGGAAATTTAAAACACTTTCTCTCTCTAATACGTATAGAATTGCCGGCAGTCTTCGCAAAACCATGATCCAATGAGAGTTTCGTCTGGAGGTGTAATGAGGCAATAAGAATGATAATTTAGACGGCATGCGTCGCATATCAACATCATGTTTCTGTTGTCGCACTGATCACAGATTTCACAGTGGACTCCGCTAAATCGTTGACTGTTTCTAAAGCGATTTGAATTAACTGCAATCTGTTTGGACACCTTATCTCCCGCCTTATCCAGTTTCAAAATGGACGTGAACACGCGGCGATCAACGGGACAGATGTTTTTGGTTTTCGACCACGTTTCCAGACAATCCAGACAAAACGTATGGAAATAGCATGAATCGGGGATGGCCAAACGTTGTCGTTTAAATTTTCCCAGGCAGATTGGACATTTTCCCTTCCTCTTAGTTCGCAACGGTTTTGGACTAGGCGACGGGGATCGCATTCGTTTTCTGTACGGCTTTTTTGCTTGTGGCGTATCCATATCGCTGCTGAAACTGTCTTCGGATAATTCACATGCTTTTCGCTTTTGTCGTTCGGAATTGCTCGTGATTTTACTCATATTTATGATTTGTCAAACTGTGACACGGGAGTTACATATGACAGGAGATTTCTTGATGGTTGATACTGTGTTGTCATTCTAGCTGGTGTCTGAGTCTTTTCGTTTAATTAATACTTCCCGTCAAATATATTGGAAATGCGAAAAAAAAAGTACTGGAGAGAAAAAAATTTAAATTTTGTAATAAAGCACCCCGAAAATAAGTAAACTGCCGACCTGAAATATTCAGCTTACCTCTCCCGCCGCCCGTCTCTTAAAGCTGACTTGTCTTCAAACTCCCAGCACCAACGTATGCTCGGCTTGCCTTTGGGCTCCCGACTCAAATCCAGAATGATTTGGGTTATCTCTGGCCTCGGCCACTTGACTCCAGGGTCGCCTTTGCGTAGTCCGCTTGTTTTGAATCCTTGGTTAAAGTAAAGGTCACTTTCTTAGGAAATGCCTGTTCCAATTTTGCATAGTTTAGGCAGAAAATGAGGTTATGTGCTTTGTTTCATATTTTTGATTGCTCCCTATAAAATGGTGTTGTGACGCTACTGATCCAGGTGTTGCAACGAAAATTTAACCAAAGACTAAGGAGATGATGCACTACTTAATCAGTTTGAGAGATGCGCCTCAGCTAATACACGGTGCCCCAAATAGGTCGTACAGTTTTCGCCAGTTCAATTAACAATATCTCAAGATTTTCAAATGGAGCGCCCAATATTTTTATTCAGATATCAATTCCAACACAAAAAATAAATTAAGTTTGTAATTTATCTTATATTAAAATTTTAGTTACTTTTTGAGATATTCGAGGTTTAAGATAACACTTGTTGGCAATATAAGGTATTTTTTAAATAGCAAAGACATGATTCTACTTCTTTTAAAAATATAATACTTCAGATGTATGAATAAAACCTATTGCTAACCATACAGATTTCATAAAACTTCAGAATTTGTATTTAAAACAACATTTAACGGTTAATTATCTAGCTTGATGGAAAATACCTAATTACAAAAATAAATAATTAACGTTTATAGGCTAACCAAGGTAAAAAAATGGAATAAATAAATCTATAAAAAAAGTTAACCAAAAAGGGTTTGTCGATCCATAAAGTTTAGTTAAAAATGTTCCTTTTAAAATGCTCGCTCCATATGGCATCAAAACAACAAAGAAATGTCAAAATATTTAAAAATGTAGTAGACTATGACACCACAATCTATTTTTTTTTGACGCATTAAGGTATAAACAGGCTTTGTCATTTCTGTTTGTTTTGCAGTTTTTCATATCTCTATTCAAAAAGATCATAGTTGTCAAGTTTTTTGTTAGTATATATTTTATTTGTATTTTAAATAAGTTATAGTTTTTTGGTTAACCTATAAACTTTAATTATTTATTTTTGTTATATATAATATGAATTTTGAAGTTTTATTAAATCTGTTAAAGTGTGCAGTATAGAGTCGATTTTTTTCAAAATTAATACGTATTAATGGCCACCCTCTATTGTTAGCAATAGGTTTTATTCGTACATCTGGAGTATTATATCTTTAAAAGAGGTAGTATCATGTCTTTGCTATTTAAAAAATAGATAAATTTATGCGGGTGTTATCTTAAACCTCGAATATCTCAAAAAGTAAGTAAAATTTTAATAAAAGATAAATTACAAACTTATCCTATTTTTGACCTTTCTTTTTACCAAGGATTCACAAAATGTCGAAATATAGCGGGCGTTCCTTTTAAACTAACATATGCCACTCAGTCATTGCCAATATCATGTGACAGTATATTCCCAATTATTTATGAATCACCCTGTATTAAAATAACCAAATTTTCCTTGAACGATGCCATCACTATCCATCACAGAATCGCATTGCCATTCGACGTTGCCAAAACTGTTTTTCCCTAAATGAGTGTAAATTTGTGTTACAAAATCGTGTTAACTCAACTACTATGTTATTACATTATTGATACTCACAATTAACTAATTCTCGCTCGCCTACTACTCGAAGTGCTACTGTTATGCTGGCTAGTACTTAATACTAGTAATTTATTTAGAAATCCGCTACTTAGAATTTCCGTTGTCCAAAACACGCAGGCAACTATTTAATAATGGTATTAGCGTAATATTTGAAGTAACCGCCGTGATTATTAATAATTCAAATCCCACCGTCAAACGAAACTGCACTATTATACTCGCAATTTGTTTTCTCGGCGTTTGTTCAATTTTCCTTTTCCGGCAAAGTTTGACTTGTAACATTAGCGGTCCCGTTTCTCTTGTTTTACGTCTAGGTGTTTAAATTTAATACTGCAAAGTTAAAGTTAAATGTGCTCCGGGAAAAGTTAATTTGCTTTACTGCCGTTGGTTGTCTACTCAATTCTTTCATGCCCGCTACTTCGCTGAAAATTATAAGGGATTTGGCTGGATTAACTGATTAATCGCGTGGTCTTTTAAGTTTCAAAGTTTCCAGTTTCCGGGAGAGTGTACTCTCGTATCTTAGCATTTAGCATTTTGGCAGTTTTTTTCTGCTGTAATTCGCTGAATCTCTGCCTTGAATGGTGAACGACTGCCTATAATTTTCTGCTAAGTTAATGTAATGCTAAGTTAACATGTTCGTAAAATATCTAATAAAGAAAACTAAAGCGAATCCTTGGTTAGTAAGTAAATTATTTCTTTGTATTTCTTCGTTGAATGCGGTTTCTTCTGATGAGGATCTCAAGCAATCTTTCCACCTCCGATCGGCGTTCTTCCTCTGCATCTTCTTCAGACTGGTAATATTGGCATTTTTAGCAATCCGTCGTCTTTCATTCTGAATTTTCTTCTTATTCTCATTTTGTTACTTTGTTCTCCAAAGTCTTTATTTCTCATTTGTATATTCTTTGTTTATCTAATCTTGTCTGTGCAAAACTAACTCTGCTGTTATATACCCGTGCTTTTTTTAGTGTACAGATATTAGTTTCTCCATATATATAAAATATTTTTTAGGTATCCAAACAGATATACAGGGTGATTCATAAAAGAATGACAATCCCGAACTGGATTTTGCTGGTTTCGGAAATACGGGGCGATCAAAATTCTATTCTGAATGTTTTCATTCATTAAAAACATTTGTATAGAAAATATAAAAACAAAAATTTGAAATTTTTGGTTTTTGACACGTTTTTGACGATTTGACACGTTGTTCATAGAGGGCGCTAGTTTCAACATATTATTTACATAAATCAAATTATATTTCTTTTCCGAGTTCCGGTCGAAACGTGATCTACAAGAATTTTCAAGTTTTCATAGAAAAGGTTCAACGTATTTTTCTATTTTTTTATAAATACTTAAAAGGTACGGCAAGCAATAAAAAACTAATATTTAACCATAACAATTTTGGTAATAGTAACAAAAAAAACCTTCAAATCAAATGTTGGAATTTCTTCGTTAGTTTTAAGTTTTGTTGTTGATTTCTGTGTTTAAACCTACTATAGCGAATCGCATAAACAAATTTTGAAATAATAAAAATCTCATGTTTATAAAACATGTTTAGGAATATTGGGTGATAAACTTTTCCATTTGCTTCGCCACCATCTAAAGGAGTGTTTGTTGAGGGCGTGGACTGTATTCGTATAGGGCTGGTTTATTTTTAAATGATAACCGTTTAACACAACACGAACTATATTTAGTTACTACGCGACTACGGTAAAAAGTTAAGACGTTTAACAAATCAGTTTAATGCGCGTAAATCACAGTTACATAACTTAAGTTTAAACAAACACTAAATTCCTCAAAAGAAACATTTTGAGAGGCAGATCCAATAAGGACACCGACTTATAGAGAGACATCTTAATAGTGAAAAGGGTTTAAAGGTGGGTTTAGCGATAGGGCGGCCGCGGTCGACAGACTGCTTTTCGCGACGCATATTTGGCAAACAGGCGCCGTCGGGCAGCTTGTCACGTCTAACGCATTTTTAGCGTCTTAGGGTATTAAGTATTATGTCGTATTCAGTGAAAATATTGTAGGTGCTGTGAGTATACAACCACTTATACGTTTGCCTGTTTTTTGGCTCACTCGTGAATAAATGAATTTTCTCTGTTCGCTTGTGATTCAACTTTGCCCACTATTTTTAGAGGCATTTTAATGAATTCTGCTAAACGATTGCGGCGAAAGTTATTATCCGTACGGAATAAACTGATTGAGTTCGGAACATCCTGTTTTCCATCGAACGAATTTGCCTAAACTGTGTATGAGGCGGAAAAACTTTGGAAAGCAGCAGACTAAGTCGATGCGGAGATACACTGGGGACGACGCTGTTCACCGATAATGTCGCTAACTTGGCGCCCAACTTTTGCTTTTTTGTTGTTCTTTTCGATTTAGAAATGTATGTTCTGCAGTTCGAAGTCGGCGTGTGTGACTAGACTCGCATTTTCGCCCCACGAAAAATCTCTTTCTATTTAACTTTCGTCTTAAATGCGAAATGCACGATCCGTTATATACTGCAGCTGTGCGAATAACAATTTTTACGTTGAAGTTGTGTCAAACTACATAATAATTCTGCATTGCTGTTTAATGACGAACCGAAAAATAATTGACACTATCAGAAGCGAGAAAATTTTCGACTGATACCGTGCAAGTGTGACTTATTGCTTCGCAATTTTGCTCCAGAACATAAATAAAGGCGAGGCAAGATGGGTCACTTCCAATGCCGCTTTGCATTTTTTACTCTTTCTAAGCACTTCATGGCACTTTTAAGCACCGTTAATAAAATTGGAAAAACTGAAATTAACATTCAAATAAAGGAGCCTGACAAATGTCAGTTATTACAATAAAAATTGTACTTTTTTAAGCTCTTAATAAGGACTGCTAAAACTATATTTCGTCAATAATTCTAACAAACACCCTGTACATTAAGTTAACACAACATTACTTAAGTAGTTTGAAGATATCTATGAATTTCGATATTTGGAGTTTTAACATTGTTTTGGGCAGCAAAATAAAACTCCGCCTCATTTAAAAAATGAACCGTCAAAGTCAAAGATTCAATAGAATATTCGCCGTAGAAGCTTTA